AAGGAAAGGAAAGGAAAGGAAAGGAAAGGAAAGGAAAGGAAAGGAAAGGAAAGGAAAGGAAAGGAAAGGGTCCCACCTGCTCGCTGACTTTGAAGGCCAGCTCCTCGAGGCGCGGTGCTGGCAGCCCCTCGTTCTCGGCCAGCGGCGCGATCAGCTGCGCCCCGGCCGCCGCCACCTCCTGCAGCACGGCCACCACCCAGGTCAGGTGCTTCCGGCACTCCTGCAGCGTGTCCGACACCTGCAGGGACAGAGAGGGGTCAGCGGGAGGGGGAGCCTGGAATCCCGCCCCGGGATGGCCGCTGGGACTGGGGGAAATCACGGGAAGATGGAGGGAAACAGGTCCTGGGTGTGAATCCAGGTCTCCAGGTGAGGTGGGAATGGAAAATCCAGGTGCCACATCCATTGTGGCTCCTCCAGGAGAGACTGAGGGAGATGGGGAGGGTCTGGAACCCCAGGAGGGGCTGAGGGAGATGGGGAAGGGTCTGGAACCCCAGGAGGGGCTGAGGGAGATGGGGAAGGGGATGGAACCCCAGGAGGGGCTGAGGGAGATGGGGAAGGGATTGGAACCCCAGGAGGGGCTGAGGGAGATGGGGAAGGGGCCCAGCCTGGAGAAAAGGAGGCTCAGGGGGCCCTTGTGGCTCTGCTGCCAGGAGGGGACAGCCGGGGAACAGGGACAGGGACAGGAGGAGAGGGAACGGCCTCAGGCTGGGCCAAACTGGATATTGGGAAAATCCCTCCTGGGCAGGGGGGAGTCCCCACCCCTGGGGGGATTTGACATCCAGAGGTGGCACTTGGGGACAGTCAGTGATGGCCCTGGCAGTGCTGGAGCTGGGGCTGGACCCGGGGATCTCCGTGGGATTTTCCAACCTAAACCAGTGCCTGATTCCACGATCCCAGCTCGGCTCACACCACCTCCCTCCGCATTCCCAGCCTCCCACAGCTCCCAGCCCGTGCCTGACCTGCGGCCCGAAGCCCAGGGCCGCGGGGATTCCCGGCGCGTCCGTGCCCGGCATGCGGCGCCGGATCTTCTTGCAGAACTGGCGGATGTCGCTGCAGGACGTCTCCAGGTCCTTGAGCAGGATGGCCAGGTCTGCCGCCTCCTGCCCGGCCTGGGGACACACACGGACCTCAGAGGGACACGGGGACACAGAGGGACACGGGGACATGGGGACCTCAGAGGGACACGGGGACACAGAGGGACACAGGGACATGGGGACCTCAGAGGGACATGGGGACACAGAGGGACACAGGGACACAGAGAGCTCAGAGGGACACGGGGACACAGAGGGACATGGTGACATGGGGACCTCAGAGGGACAGGGAGACACAGAGGGACCTCAGAAGGACATGGGGACATGGGGAGCTCAGAGGGACACAGGGAGCTAGGAGGGACATGGGGACAGAGGGCCATGGGGACACAGAGGGAGCTCTGACAGACACAGGGACAGAGTGGGACACAGAGGGACCTCAGAGGGACATGGGGAGCTCAGAGGTACATGGGGACACAGAGGGACCTCAGAGGGACAGGGGGAAACAGAGGGACCTCAGAGGGATTTGGGGACATGGGGGGCTCAGAGGGACACAGGGAGCTAGGAGGGACATGGGGACAGAGGGACATGGGGACACAGAGCTCTGACAGACACAGGGACAGAGAGGAACCTCAGAGGGACATGAGGAGAGAGAGGGACTTTAGAGGACCTCAGACAGAGTGACACGGGGACAGCAGGAAGGTGGCACGTGCCCAGCCATCCTGGCAGGTGCCACCTGGAGGAAGATCCTCCCTGGAGGAAGATCCTCCCTGGAGGAAGATCCTACCTGGAGGAAGATCCTACCTGGAGGAAGATCCTACCTGGAGGAAGGCCCGCAGCCGGCACACCTCCACCCCCATGCAGTCCAAGGCACTCTGGGTGAACTGTGGGCACAGGGACAGGGACCCTCAGCGTGGGGACAGGGACAGGAGGGCTCCCAGGCCACACTCATCCAGTCCCAGGAATTCCAGGACGGACCCTGCCACCAGCCCAGGATTTTCAGGAGCAGGGAAAGGGGTCAGGCAGGACACTGGGAAATCCGGGATACAACCCTGAGACACGAGGGTCTCCACACTCCCATCCCTGCTCTCCTCCTCCCCGTGATCCTGTTCCAGATCCCCACACCAGATCCCACACCAGATCCCGTTCCAGATCCTGCTCCAGATCCCAGTCCAGATCCTGCTGCAGATCCCCTCTCCAGATCCCATTTCAGATCCTGCTCCAGATCCCAGCCCAGATCCCAGCCCAGATCCCCACACCAGATCCTTGCTCCAGATCCCCACACCAGATCCCCACTCCAGATCCCCATTCCAGATCCCCACTCCAGATCCCCACTCCAGATCCTCTCTCCAGATCCTCTCTCCAGATCCCCACTCCAGATCCCCACACCAGATCCCCACACCAGATCCTCTCTCCAGATCCCCTCTCCAGATCCCCACACCAGATCCCCACTCCAGAGCCCCATTCCAGATCCCCACTCCAGATCCCCACAACAGATCCCCACTCCAGATCCCCACACCAGATCCCTTCTCCAGATCCCCGCTCCAGATCCTTGCTCCAGATCCCCACACCAGATCCCCGCTCCAGATCCCCACTCCAGATCCCCATTCCAGATCCCCTCTCCAGATCCCCATTCCAGATCCCCTCTCCAGATCCCCACACCAGATCCCCTCTCCAGATCCCCTCTCCAGATCCCCACTCCAGATCCCCTCTCCAGATCCCCACACCAGATCCCCACACCAGATCCCCACTCCAGATCCCCTCTCCAGATCCCCTCTCCAGATCCCCACTCCAGATCCCCACACCAGATCCCCTCTCCAGATCCCCACACCAGATCCCTTCTCCAGATCCCCACTCCAGATCCCCTCTCCAGATCCCCGCTCCAGATCCCCACTCCAGATCCCCTCTCCAGATCCCGTCTCCAGATCCCCATTCCAGATCCCCACTCCAGATCCCCGCTCCAGATCCTTGCTCCAGATCCCCACTCCAGATCCCCACACCAGATCCCCTCTCCAGATCCCCACTCCAGATCCCCACTCCAGATCCCCTCTCCAGATCCCCGCTCCAGATCCCCGCTCCAGATCCCGTTGCAGATCCCTCTGAGATGCCCACAGCAGACCCCATTCCAGAAGCCATGTCCCCTGGGTGCCAGCGCTGGGGGTGGCTGCAGGGATCCTGGGGGACACAGAGGTGGAAAAGCGGGGCAGGGCTGTCCCCGCTCACCTTGATGTGGTCAGCCAGCTGCAGGGTGCAGTCCTCAGCCTGGTCGGCCAGGTGGATGCTGTACAGGTGCTGTGGGAATGGCAGGGTCAGCACACGTGGAAAAACCCAACGTGGGAACGCCAAAAAAAACCCCAAATTGTGAGAGTTTGGGCGGGTTTATTTTAAATGGAAGTAACAGCAGTGCCCCAAAAGAGCTGGCGGTGCTCAGTTCCACAGGTGAAGGAATGTGGGACGGGATCCTCCGGGGATCAGGAGGATCCATCCTCAGGGCACACACCCAAAGGAAAGGGCTGCCAAAAGGAGCTCCCATCCCAGATTTTCACCTGTCCCCAGCGTCACCCCCAGCCCCACCTGGTAGTACTTGATGGCTTTGGTGAGCGGCTCCACGTTGACGGTCTCGTCCAGCTGGTCCTTGTGGAGCAGCTCGATCAGGAAGTCCAGGGAGCGCTCGTGGACGCTCATCTCGGGGTACAGGGTCCCCACCTTCTTGTACACCTCCACGCTGCAGCGGTTCAGGGCCCTGAGGGGACAGGGACAAGGGGCTGGACGCGGGGAACGGGAGCCCTGAGGCGCTGCTGGCCTGGGGACGGGGACACAGCCGTGAGCTGGGTGGTGCTGCAGGCCCAGGGGAACACCGGGAGGGTCACGGGGATGGGAATAAGGGAGTGAGGGGATCCTGCTGCTTCTTTGTAGCCTGGATCCCAAAATTCCTTCCCGTGTCACCTCTTGAGGAGGAGAACTCATCCTCCTTTTCTAGCCTGGCTCCCAAAATCCCTTCCCGTGTCACCCCCTGGGAAGGACACGGAGAGGCCATGGAGAAAGGGATCCCACTGCTTTTTCCCATCCCAGCTCCCAAAATCCTGTGTGATCCTTTTGGAAGGACACAGACAGGTCATGGAGAAAGGGATCCCACTGCTTTTTTCCAGCCCAGCTCCCAAAATCCCACGTGATCTTTGGGGAAGGACAAACAGAAGTCACAGGGAAGGGGATCCTCCCAAGGGAATAAAGGGATCCTGCTGCTCTTTTCCATCCCAGCTCCCAGAATCCCGGGTGATCTCTTGGGAAGGACACAGACAGGTCATGGAGAAAGGGATCCCACTGCTTTTTTCCCAGCCCAGCTCCCAGAATCCCTTCCCATATCACCTTTTTGAGAGGGACACACAGAGGTCATGGAGAAAGGGATCCCACTGCTTTTTCCCATCCCAGCTCCCAGAATCCTGTGTGATTTCTTGGGAAGGACACACAGAGGTCATGGAGAAAGGGATCCCACTGCTTTTTCCCATCCCAGCTCCCAGAATCCCTTCCCACGTCATCCCTTGGGAGGAACACACAGGGAGGATCACAGAGGAACCACCCCACGGCAAGGCGATGAAACCATCCCAGCACCTTTTCCCAGCCCCCGGATTCCCTGGGATCCCCAGATCCCTGGAATTCGGCCGGCAGAGGGAGGGCAGGGCGGGGCAGGGACTCACTGCTCGTATTTGTGGAGCGTGGCCTGGAGCAGGCTCAGGGAGTAGACGAGGCCAGCGGCGAAGCTGAGCTGCTCGCCCGGGGCTCCTCGCAGCCCCGCCCGCTCGGCGCAGCTCTCGCTCAGCTCGAACCTCTCCTGAGCCTGTTTGCTGATCAGCTCGGCCTGCAGGAGACACGGAAATCCCTCAGGGCGTCCCAACCTTGCCTGCTCTGTCCCGCTGAGCCACGGCCGACAGCCCCTGCACCTCCAAAGAGTGACCTGTCCTTGCTGAGTGACCACCCCTGGCGGCTGCTCCCCTTCCCTTCTCCGGGAGCACTCGATAGTCCTGGGATCATGGAGTTATTTAGGTTGGGAAGGTCCCTTAAGACCATCGAGTCCAGCTGTTCCCCCAGCACCGCCACTGACCCTGTCCCCAAGTGCCACATCCGCAGGGCTGTTAAATCCCCCCAGGGATGGGGACCCCGCCGCTGTCCCCAGCAGCTGTGCCAGGACTGGACACCCCTCTCCAGAAGGAATTTTCCCAATATCCCACCTGAACCCCCCAGGGATGGTGATTCCAATCACTCAAAAACATTGTGGAGCTGCTCCAGCAGCAAACAGCCCGGATCCCCAATTCCCCCGGGGACTGAGGCGCTGTTCCCCATCCCGGCTCTCCCCAGGCTGTCCCACCTTGCAGATGAGGCGTGGGATGAGCAGCAGCACCAGGACGCAGTCGTGGTCGCCGCCGTGCCGCAGGAAGCTGTCGGGCATGAAGGAGGTGAGGAGGGACACGTGCCGGTTGGCCTGCTGCACTTCCATCTGCCGCAGCTCCATCTCGATGGCCTGTGATGGGGGACACCCAGAGCCGCTCAGAGCGGGAGAAAATCATGGAATTCTGCTCCTTGGAGAGTCTGGGATCTCCCAGCGCACCCAGTGCCACCCCCTGCCATGGCCGGGGATCCTCCCACTGTCCCAGGGTGCTCCAGCCTGGCTTTGGACACTTCCAGGGATCCAGGGGTAGCCAGAGGTTCTCTGGGAAATCCATTCCAGGGCCTCACCACCCTCACAGGGAGGAATTCCTTCCCAATATCCCATCCAGCCCTGTCCTCTGGCAGTGGAAGCCATTCCCTGTCTCCAGTCCCACCATTCCCTTGTCCCCAGTCCCTCTCCAGCTCTCCTGGAGCCCCTCTAGGCCCTGGAAGGGGCTCTGGGCTCTCCCCAGAGCCTTCCCTTCTCCAGGTGAATTCCTGAATTCCTGGCTCTCCCAGCTGGCTCCAAAATCCTGGAATGGTTTGGGTTTGGGTTTTAAAGCCCATCTCATTCCACCCCATCCACGGGCAGGGACAGCTCCCACCGTCCCAGGGCGCTCCCAGCCCTGTCCAGCCTGGCTTTGGACACTTCCAGGGATCCAGGGACAGCCACAGCTCCTCTGGGAACACCCTGGAGCCCGTCCCAGGGCGTGGATGAGCCCATCCACGTCTCCTGCTGGCCCTACCTTGGCGTGGGCTTTCGTCTCTGCAAATTTGATCTTGAAGTCGAACATTTCGGGGGGCGGCTGCTGCTGCTTCTCGGCAGACGCTTCCTGCTGGCTCATCAGCTCCCGGTTCACGTCCTGGGGACACGGGGACATGGAGCCCAGGGACCCCCAGGGACCCCCAGGGACCCCCAGGGACCCCCAGGGACACGGGGACATGGAGCCCAGGGACCCCCAGGGACACGGGGACATGGAGCCCAGGGACCCCCAGGGACATGGGGACATGGAGCCCAGGGACCCCCAGCCCCTCCCCACACCCCCTCCTGGGGGGCAACACCCCGAGCAGGCACAGGGGAGGGAGAGGCACCAAGAAGTGTCAATATCCACAGGTTCATTCCCCTGAATCAAGACCTGAGCCCAGGGCTGGGATAACCCCCACAGGGAAGAATTTCTTCCCAATATCCCATCTCAATCTCCCATTTCCCAGTGGGAAGCCATTCCCTGGGTCCTGTCCCTCCAACCCTTGTCCCAAGTCCCTCTAGGAGCCCCTTTAGGGCACTGGGAAGGGCTCTGAGGTCTCCTTGGCGCCTTCCCTTCTGCAGGCAGGACATTCCCAGCTCTCTGCAGGACGAGGCAGTGGGAGGGACCCCGTGGAAGCTCCACGAGGAACCCACCCAGCCCCGAGCCGTGTCCTGCCGTGCCCAGCTCCACAGGACATTCCCATGGGATGCTCCCTCTGGCTCTCCTGGCCACGGGCTGAGCTCCAGGAGGAGCAGGGGGTGTCACCTGCAGGTGAGCCGTGAGCTCCCGGTACTTTTTGATGGTCTGCTGGTAGTCGGCCACGGTCTCCTGGGCGGCCTCCACGCGCTTCTCGGCCTCGCGCACGCGCGCCGTGGCCATGTCCAGCTGCTCGCGCAGCTCCAGCTCCGTCTCCCGCGCGTTCTCCTGCAGCTCGTCGTTCATCTCGTTCATGGCTTCCTGCAGGGACAGTCACGCCGTGCGGCTCAGACGCGTCCCAGCGCTCCGGAGAGCTTCCCAAAATCCCTCTGGCTCTGCGGATCCCGGTGCTGGCCCCTGGGGCAGCTCCTGTCCCGGGGACTTCTGCCTTACCAGGTCCCCGACGGTCTCACGCAGCTCCCGGACCTTCTCCTCCAGATCCAGGTTTCTCTCTGTCAGAGTCTCCACCATCTCCTCAGCACCCAGCGCTGCATCCACCTGAAGGAGACACATCCCAGTCCATCCCGGTACATCCCGGTCCATCCCAGTGCCAGGAGACACATCCCAGTCCATCCCGGTCCATCCCAGTTCATCCCGGTCCATCCCAGTCCATCCCAGTCCATCCCAGTCCATCCTAATCCATCCCAGTCCATCCCGGTCCATCCCAGTCCATCCCACACATCCCAGTCCATCCCAGTGCCAGGAGACACATCCCAGTCCATCCCGGTCCATCCCAGTACATCCCAATCCATCCCAGTCCATCCCAATCCATCCCAATCCATCCTAAACATCCCAATCCATCCCAATCCATCCCACACATCCCAATCCATCCCACACATCCCAGTCCATCCCAGTCCATCCCAGTCCATCCCAGTCCACCCAGGAGCCCTGAGCCCAGGGCTGGGATAACCCCACAAGGAGAATTTCTTCCCAACATCCCATCTAAATCTCCCCTTCCCAGTGGGAATCCCTTCCCTGTGTCCTGTCCCCCCTCCCTTGTCCCGAGCCCCTCTCCAGCTCTCCTGGAGCCCCTCTAGGCCCTGGGAAGGGTTTCCCGAGGCAGGATTGTCACCATCCCAGCAGGAAGGTGTCACCCCACGGGTCACCCCACACCCTGCACGGCCCAGCACGGCCCCACTGCTGCAACAGGCTTGGGAATTGGGAATTCGGGAGCAGGAGCTGGTCCCTGCAGTGGGATCACTGCACGTGGCTCCCCGCGAGTTCCAATGGCCCAAACGTCCCCAGACTGCCCCAGACGTCCCCAAACTGACCCCAAACGTCCCCAAACTGACCCCAAATGTCCCCAAACTGCCCCAGATGTCCCCAAACTGACCCCAAATGTTCACAAACTGCCCCAAATGTCCTCAAACTGACCCCAAATGTTCACAAACTGCCCCCAAATGTCCTCAAACTGACCCCAAACGTCCCCAGACTGCCCCAAATGTCCCCAAATTGCCCCAAACATCCCCAGACTGACCCCAAATGTCCCCAAACTGCCCCAAATGTCCCCAAACTGCCCCAAACGTCCCCAAACCACCCCAAATGTCCCCAAACAGTCCCAAATATCCCGTCCCACCCGTCCCTCACCTGCTCCTTGAGCTCATCCACCGTCTTCTCCGCCTGCTTCACCTCCTCCTGCAGCTTCTCCCGCTGCTGCCGCAGCGACTCCAGCTCCGTGTTCTTCTTCTCCATCTGCTTCTGCAGCTTCACGTGCTCCTGCTTCTCCGAGGCCGACAAATCCCGCATCCTGGGACGGCCACAGCTGCCCTCAGGGCCAGCCCAGGACATCCCCAGGAGCTCCAGCTGGGATCAGGGAGCTCATCCGTCCCCATCAGCCCCTCCCTGGTGAGTGACATCCCCAAAATTCAGCAAGGGATGGGTCCCACCTGGATTTCTTGCCTGTGGATTCCCAAATAAAAAGCCCTCGAGCCCTGGGAAGTGGGATGGTCCAGGGAGAGGCAGATCCCAGATACCCAGATTCCATAGGGAATGAGACATGGGATCAGCCTGGAGTGACTCGTTTTGTGCCCATCCCCACCAATCCCTTCCCCGGGGGAGCTTTAAGACCCCAGAGCCATCAGCAGGGTTGATGTGGGCTGCTCCAGAGAAGGATTCAGGTCCTTCTGATCCAGAGGGAGGGATGCTCTCGGATTTAGGGAGCACAAGAGGCCTGGGAAGGAATTTTGGGAAGCACAGGTGGGTTCCAACCTGACAAGAGCCTCCTTGAGCCTGGCATTCTGCTCCTCCAGCTGTTTGACCTGGTAGCTGGAGGCTGCTCCGTCAGAGCCTGCGGAGGAAGGCAGGAATCAGGACCCCAGGATCCCAGACTGCTTTGGGTGGGAAGGGACCTCAAATCCCACCCGTTCCCACCCCCTTCCACTATCCCAGGCTGCTCCAAGCCCCATCCAGCCTGGCTTTGGACGCTTCCAGGGATGCAGCAGCCACTGCTTCTCTGGAAAAATTCATTCCAGGGCCTCAGGACTCTCACGGAGGAGAATTCCTTCCCAATATCCCACCTAAGCCCACCTCCGTTCCCCGTTCTCCGAGCCCCAAGCCCCTTCTCTGTTGGGGAAGGTGAAACAGGGAAACCTTCTGAATGTGGTTGTTTGGCACTAGATTGTGAAAATGTGAAGGCTAGAATCAAAGTAGAAATGAAAGCCTGCTTTGAGTTATAGGATACTGAGTACTGGTTAACCAAAGAACAATAGCCTAGCCAGCTAGAGGAGAATCCCTGCTGATAAAACAATGTCCTTCTGCTGATAAGAAGAGTCCAAAAGTAAAGAAGCAAGGAAAGAACTTGTAAAGCTCTGTAGAGTATAAAATGCAACACTGTATGTTAATATAGGGAAGCCCATAGGTTGTATGTAAATTCTTTAGTGGGTGTGTCTCATGGTGATTGGTTTCTGGTAATTAGAATATTCACGATAGAAAAAGATATATTGGATTGTGACAAGAACTTTGCTCTTTTTACTCTTACCTCTTGCCTCTTTACTCTTCTCTCTTCCCTCCTCCCTTTACCCCTCTCCCCTCTCCCCCCTCTTAACTCTCAGCCCCCTCTCCCTGCTCCTACCCCTCTCGCCTTCCCTGCTCTTTCCCTCTGTCTCTCTTACTCCCTCCCTCTCCCTTCCAACCTCACCTTCCCTGCTCCACCTGTGCTCTCTCCCCTCTCCTGGAGCACGTGGACGCCGAGGCTGGTGGCGGACACGGCTCTCCCCTCCTTTTACTCTTATAATAAATCGCTTATACTTGAACAGCTTGACCCTGGAGAAGTCTCTCACCGCGAGCGAGAATTATTTTACTCCAATACTTCTCCCTTCCCACCTTTCTCCTCGATCTCGTGCTTGAGGATCTCCAGGTCCATGGTGAGGTATTCCACCTTCTCCTTGAGGGAATCCACCTCCTGCTGCAGGGACTCTGCGCGCTCCTCGGCCATCTCCTTGTCCAGCGTGGCCATCTCGATGGCGTCGGCCGTGTCCGCCATCTCCTCCATGTACCTTTCCTTGGCTTCCAGGGCATCCTTGGCTTCCTGGGGGCGAGCACGGCAGCTGAGGGGACCCCACAGCTCTGGGGGGGACCCCACAACAGCCCTCGGGGAATTATTGTTGTGCCATGGACATTTATCCGGGATGGGAGGGCGTCCCGCTCTCCTCCTCCCCGCTCCACGCCCAGAGAACCTGAGGACAAAGGTAAGGAGAAAGGGAATAGCGGAGCAGACAGATAAATCCCTGGGGAAAGAAACCAGGAATCCACCCTGGAAAAGTAGGGCAGGGAGAAGGAAACGCTGCTTGGCTGCCTGGATGGAGCCCTGGGAGCTGCAGGCACGGGTGAGGGGGAAAAAGGGAAGCGCCTGGAATTCCTGGAGAGAGAGAGAGAAGGAAGCACCTGGAATTCCTGGAGAGAGAGAGGAGGGAAGGAAGAGCCTGGAATTCCTGGAGAGGAGGGAAGGAAGCACCTGGAATTCCTGGAGAGAGAGGAGGGAAGGAAGCACCTGGAATTCCTGGAGAGGAGGAGGGAAGGAAGAGCCTGGAATTCCTGGAGAGAGAGAGGAGGGAAGGAAGAGCCTGGAATTCCTGGAGAGGAGGGAAGGAAGCACCTGGAATTCCTGGAGAGGAGGGAAGGAAGAGCCTGGAATTCCTGGAGGAGAGAGAGGAGGAAACACCTGGAATTCGAGGGAATAGGGAAGGAAGAGCCTGGAATTCCTGGAGAGAGAGAGGAGGGAAGGAAGCACCTGGAATTCCTGGAGAGGAGGGAAGGAAGAGCCTGGAATTCCTGGAGAGGAGGGAAGGAAGCGCCTGGAGAGAGAAGGAAGAGGGAAGCACCTGGAAAGAGAGAGGAGGGAAGGAAGCGCCTGGAGAGAGAAGGAAGAGGGAAGCACCTGGAAAGAGAGGGAATAAGGAATTCAAAATCCCACCTTGGCTCAGCCTGATTCCCAAACACAACCGGTGTCGATTCACAGCAGAGGAAAAGACCTGAGGTGCAGCAGGGGAGGTTTAGTTGGATATTGGGAAAGTTTCCTCCCAGGAAGGTTTGTCAGGGCTGGAATTCCTGCTGGAGTCACCTCTCCGGGCACTGCCCCATTCCCAGGGACGCTCACTCACCTTCTTGGCCTCCTTCAGGCGCTTCTGGAGGTCAGCCTGCTGCTCCTGCATCTTGCTCTTCCATTCCTGCACCTGCTCCAGCTGGATCTTGTACTTCTCCAGCTCCTTGAGCTTGGCCTTGTCCTCATTCCGCTTGATTTTCAGCGTCTCCAGCTTCTCCTCCAGGTCCCTGACCTGAGCACGGAGATTCTCCTCCTCCTGTGACACGGAGCCAAGGATCAGGGAAGGGGCAGGGACACCCTTTGGACAGAGCTCCAGGGATGCTCCTGGAAGCCCAGGGAACCTGGCCTGATTTTGTCATCGATATTGGGGCAGTTTGAGGAGAGAGGGACTTGGGAGAAGGGCCTGGAGTGGCAGGACAGGGGGAATGGCTCAGGGTTGGATGGGATGTTGGGAAGGAATTCCTGGCTGGGAGGGTGCTGGAGCCCTGGCACAGGGTGCCCAGGGGAGCTGGGGCTGTCTGATCCCACTGCAGCACCCACATCATCCCAGGGAAAACTGATCCAGCTCCTTTTCCAGCAGCTCAGCTCCCAAAGGCTGATGCCAGCATTCCCAAAGGAAGGGCTGCAGGGACAATGGGATGTCACCTCCCTCCCTGGCAGCAGCCACAGGGGCTAAAGCTGCAAATCCCAGAGCTGGGTGACAACAAGGAACAGGACTTGGAAAAATCCAGAACCTCCCATGGATTCCTCCTGTGCTGCTTTCCCAGCCTGGACATTCTGATGTCCCCAAAAAATCCCAGTTAGAGGAAGCAGCTCCCAGAGAGCTGTGGGAATGGGGACACGGGTGGGGACATCCCCTGTCCCACCCTGGGCTGCCTTCTCCAGCTCTCCCTTCCAACACAATCCCAGAGCCTCGTCCCCTCCTGCCTGCCCTCCCTGGCTTTGTGCCCCAAATCTCTCCCAAGCACTAATTAACTCATTAATCAAAGCAGGATGGAAGTGATAAGAAAAGTATTTTAAAGATCAAAACGGGAATAACTCTGTAATGATTAAAAATCCCTGAATTTGGGAAATGTTGGATCTTTCCATGTGGGCTTTGCATCTCAAGGTGGGAGGGCCCCGAGTGCTGGTCCCTGCGCCCCAATTCTCCCAAATTTGGGAAATCCTGAACCTCTCCAAGGGGTCTTTGCATCCCAAGGTGGGAGGGCCCCCAGTTCTCCCAGCACCAGTGGGTGTTGCCAACTGGACGCTCTGGATTTAACAGGATCACGCTCTGACTCGGAGCCTCAGCCCTGCCAAACTGCCCCCTGTGCCCCACAGGGATCTGGGAATTCCCTTTGGAAGTGGCCTCCCAGCTGTGCCACCTCTGTCTCTGTCCTGGCCAGCTCTGAGCCATCCCAGTGCTCCTGCCACAGCCCAGGGAACACCCCCAGGACCCTCCAGGGCACCTCTTCCTGTCCTCCTCCTCCTCCTGCTCCTCCTGCTCCTCCTCCACCTCGTCCTCATCCTCATCCTCGTCCTCATCCTCATCCTCATCCTCGTCCTCCACCTCCACCTCCACNCGCCGGACGCCGAGGCCGAGCCCGAGGGCCCGGCCGTGCCGCCGGACGCCGATGACGTGGGGGTCCGGGTGGGCTGCAAAACACCAGCAGGGCTCAGGGGGAGGCAGGGGGGACACCCCAAAGGACGGTGATCCCACAGCTCCCGCCGTGACACCTCGGGTGACCCCCGGAGTCCCATTCCAGCAGGGGAAACCTGGAGCGTGCCGGCAGTGGGGACTCGGCTCGGAGAGAATTCATGGATAATCCATTGGGGAAGGACTCCAGGTGCTTCCCAGAGAAGCTGTGGCTGATCCTGGATCCCTGGAAGGGTCCAAGGCCAGGTTGGACGGGGCTTGGAGCAGACTGGGACAGTGGAAGGTGTCCCTGAACATGGCAGGGGGTGGCACTGGATGGTCCCCAAGGTCCCTCCCAACCCAAACCATTCCAGGATTCCAGGATTCAAAGTCCCAGCTCCAGAGGGTGAGACAGCAAAACCTCAGAGCCCACCAAGACGAGAACCCAGCAAGAAGAAAACCAACAAGGAGTGAGTTCCCAGAGTCCAGTGAGGCCTGGTGCTGCTTCATTAGCGCTTATGAGGCTGTTAATTAATGACTGTCTGAGCCCAGGCCATGGGAAAAGGGGTGAGGGAAGCACCAGGTGCCCCCCAGGCTCCCACAGATCTCCTCATGGACCCTGTTTCTGGACCACTCACCTCTGACTGCGTAAATTACATTTCCTGACTTAATTTTATTGTTGGAAATGGGATTTTTGGTGCCATGAGGGCTCACCAGGCGTGTGGTTACACCCATGGGCACAGCTGGGAAGGAGAAACACCCACCCTCTGCCCTTACCTTCCCCAAAATAAAGGGAAATCGGAGTTAAGTGCACTGCACCCCTTGGATGGGCCCAGCCAGCCCTCCTGGGATAATCCCAGTTCTCCCAGGCACAGAAAACAGGGAATTTCTGGGCGGCACCGAGCCCCACGCGCTCTGTTCCAGATACAAAACACCGATGTTTGCTGTTCCTGGTGCTTTTGGGTCACAGATCCCGCACGGAGAGCAGGCTTAGATGGGATATTGGGAAGGAATTCCAGGCTGGGAGGGCGCCCAGGGGAGCTGTGTCCACCCCTGGATCCCTGGAAGTGTCCAAGGCCAGGCTGGACAGGGCTTGGAGCAGCCTGGGATGGTGGGAGGTGCTCCTGGGTGGAGCTGGATGGGCTTTAGGTCCCTTCCAAGCCATTCCACGATTCCAGGATCCCATCTCCCTGCCCAGCACGGCTGCGAGGCCAAAGGAGGTCCCACAGGACACCCCTGCAGAGACACCAGCAAGAACCATCCAAACCCAGGGAACGGGACCCCAGAGCCCTGATGGAACCCACCCCTGCCTGGGGCGAGGTGCTGGAAGCATCCAGAGAGTTCTCCATTCCCAAACTCGACCTTTAAGCATTTCTCCCCCACATTTCCTCCCTTCAAGCCACAAATGCCTTCCCAAGGTGGATCCTGCTGGTTGGAGCAGCCCCCGAGGGCCCACCCGGCCCTGGCTGACACCTCAGGCTCTCTCAGATCCCACCCAGATCCCACCGCCAAGCCCCCGGCACAGGCCGGGACAGTCAGGAGCAGCAACCCCCGCGGGACCCCCCGGCACAGCCCGGGCACTGCCACACGGATTTCACACCGCTCCATCCTGGGAGAGGGGTCCCAAGGAGCTGGAGATGTTCCAGAGGAGCCCACCAGCCCTGTGAGCTCCTCTGGGCTCTGCACAACGAGGGGGAAGGACAACGGGAGTGTGCCGTGGGGCTGGGACCCAATGGGTGACGTTTGTGTGGGGCTGGCACCCAATGGGTGACGTTTGGGTGGGGCTGGCACCCAATGGGTGACGTTTGGGTGGGATTGGGAACCAATGGGTCATGTTTGAGTGCATTGGTACCCAATGGGTGACGTTTGTGTGGGGCTGGGACCCAATGGGTGACGTTTGGGTGGGATTGGGAACCAATGGGTCATGTTTGAGGGCATTGGTACCCAATGGGTGACGTTTGTGTGGGGCTGGGACCCAATGGGTGACGTTTGTGTGGGGCTGGGACCCAATGGGTCATGTTTGGCTGGGATTGGGAACCAATGGGTCATGTTTGAGGGCATTGGTACCCAATGGGTGACGTTTGTGTGGGGCTGGGAACCAATGGATTGTGTTTGTGTGGGATTTGGAACCAATGGGTCACGTTTGGGTGGGGTTGGCACCCAGTGGATCCAGTCTGAGGTGCTGCTGGCACCCAATGGATCCAGTCTGAGGTGCTGCTGGCACCCAGTGGATCCAGTCTGAGGTGCTGCTGGCACCCAATGGATCCAGTCTGAGGTGCTGCTGGCACCCAATGGATCCAGTCTGAGGTGCTGCTGGCACCAGTGGATCCAGTCTGAGGTGCTGCTGGCACCCATTATTGGTGATCCACGCTTGTGACGGGGTCGCTTTGAGTGGCGCTGGCACCGTCGGTGCCCGGTGTCCCCGCGCTCGGTGTCCCCACCGTGGCTGCTCACCTTGGGCCGGCGGGCGGTGCTCTGGAGGGCAGCGGGAGCGGAAGCAGAGAGGACAGACAGTCACACAGGGACAGAGGAGCAGAGAAGAGCCGGCGGCGGCCGGAGCGGCAGAGCAGGGAAAGGAGACAAAAGACAGCACGGCATCGTTAGTGTGCCCGGCATCGTTAGCGTGCCCAGCGGCACCGGGTGTGCGCGGCGGCGTTAGCGTGGGGGCTCCTTAACCCGCTCCAAGGGCTGCTCCGGGTGGGACCCACAGGCTCCCACAGGACCCACAGGCACAGAGCCCACGGGATCCCCTGGCACAGCTCCCATGGGATCCCCTGGCACAGCTCCCATGGATCCCCTGGCACAGCTCCCATGGGATCCCCTGGCACTGCTCCCATGGGATCCCCTGGCACTGCTCCCATGGGATCCCCTGGCACAGCTCCCACGGGATCCCCTGGCACTGCTCCCATGGGATCACAGGAACAGCTCCCATGGGATCACAGGCACAGCTCCCATGGGATCACAGGAACAGCTCCCATGGGATCACAGGAACAGCTCCCATGGGATCACATGAACAGCTCCCACGGGATCCCCTGGCACAGCTCCCATGGATCCCCTGGCACAGATCCCATGGATCCCCTGGCACTGCTCCCATGGGATCCCACAGGCACAGCTCCCATGGGATCCCACAGGCACAGCTCCCATGGGATCACAGGCACAGCTCCCATGGGATCCCCTGGCACAGCTCCCATGGATCCCCTGGCACAGCTCCCATGGGATCACAGGAACAGCTCCCATGGGATCCCCTGGCACAGCTCCCATGGGATCACAGGAACAGCTCCCATGGATCCCCTGGCACAGCTCCCATGGATCCCCTGGCACAGCTCCCATGGATCCCCTGGCACAGCTCCCATGGGATCCCCTGGCACAGCTCCCATGGGATCCCACAGGAACAGCTCCCATGGGATCACAGGAACAGCTCCCATGGGATCACAGGAACAGCTCCCATGGGATCCCCTGGCACAGCTCCCATGGGATCCCCTGGCACAGCTCCCATGGGATCCCCTGGCACAGCTCCCATGGGATCACAGGCACAGCTCCCATGGGATCGCAGGAACAGAGCCCACAGCCCTTGCTCACCCCCAAGCCCTGTCCCTGTCCCTCCCCTGTGGGGGCAGAGGGCACATGCTGAAGCCCCATCCCAACCCCACGGATACCCCAGGGCAGATCCACCTTGTATTTCCAGGGAATTTTGGTCTTCAGAGGCAGAGCCTGGTTTGGGTGGGCTGGGCATTCCGGGCTCCACGGGCACGGGGGGTTTCACCTCCCACGCCTTTCCCAGAGACCCCCCCGGAGCGGGAATTGAAAGGATTTCATCTCAAACACGAGTTTTCTCCTCTCCTCATCCCTCTGGTTTTCCAAAGGGCCCAGAGCACCCTGGACCGGCCGCCTCAGAGCCCCCAGAAATTCCAGGGACACCACGGAGCTGATGCCACACCCCCAGCTTTGCCTTTCACGGCTGGAATTAAATCATCCACGATTTTGGGGTAGGACCCCCCCACACCCCTCCATGCACATGCAGCAGCTCCCAGCAGCTCAGGGAGGGGAGGCCACGGGGCCCAGCCCAGAACAGAGACAAATATGAAGTGATTTTGGGTTTTTCCCCTTAAAAACAACCCCTAATGGCTGGAAAAGGAGGGGTGAGCAGGCTGGTCCTGGGGGCCATTTGGATCATCTGCCCAGCTGCAGCCTTGGAGCGCTTCCTTCATTTCTGATTCCATGACCTAATCCCAGCTGGGAATAAGCAGGAGCAGAACAGATGGATAACGGCGCTGGCACGTGATCCGTGTCCGGGATGGGGACGTGAGGCACACGGAGCCACCAGCAGCTCCAGCCCGTATCCAACGCGGCCGTGTTCCCTCCTGACGCCTCGGGAAACCTCGGGGCTCTGTTTCCAATCCAAACCTGGATGTGTTCGCACCTCCAAACTTCCCATCACCTCTGGCAGTGCTTCAGCTGAATCCTGCTCTGCTCAGCCTTTTCCCAAAGGCTGCAATCCACGTCCCTCCCGAGGGAAAACATTCCCGTCCTCCACAACATCTCCTGCACGACTAAAATTGTCAGGAAAACGGAATGACAGCAGCAAAGGTTCCAGACCTTCAGGTGAAACCCCGAGGATGCCCTTCAGGAGCTCTCCAGCATCTTCCCAAAATCCAACCGGGCAACGTGGAGCAGCAACAAAAATCTGGGAAACACTTGGAAAACGCCTTCTTCAGGAATTCCACGGGTGGAGATGTCCCCACGCCCTGCCACACACGTGGGGGGGACTCAGGAGTGGGGCAGGGCTGGGGGGTCCCACCGAGTCCTTGGACACAGGGAAATGTCACCTGAGATGAGTGAGTCCTGTCCTGGGGGACACCAAATCCTTCCCTGAGGGACACCAAATCCTTCCCTGAGGGACACCAAATCCTGCCCTGGGGGACACTGAGCCTTGTCCTGGATGGGGGACACTGATCCCTGTCCAGGGGGACACCAAAATCCTTCCCTGGGGGACACCAAATCCTGCCCTGGGGGACACCAAATCCTGCCCTGGGGGACACTGAGCCTTGTCCTGGATGGGGGACACTGATCCCTGTCCAGGGGGACACCAAGCCTTGTCCTGGGGGACACCAAATCCTTCCCTGGGGGATGCTGAGCCTTGTCCTGGATGGGGACACTGATCCCTGTCCTGGGGGACACTGATCTCTGTCCTGGGGGACACCAAATCCTTCCCTGGGGGACACCAAATCCTCCCTGGGGGATGCTGAGCCTTGTCCTGGATGGGGAACACTGATCCCTGTCCCGGGGGACACCAAGCCCTTCAGCTGGGGGACACTGAGCCTTGTCCTGGCCATGGGGTGGGGGACACCAACTCGAGGCACACCAAACCCCAAAAACGGGGAGAAGCCTCCTGGTAAGCGTCCCCTAAAGCCGTGTGGAATGACAGGGAATAATCCTGCTTTGTGCATCCTCGGCAGGTTTGGTCCCCTCCATTTGATGCCACGTGCAGACCACTGGAAGTTGCAGCTCCAAGACCCCCGGGATCCGTGGCAAAGGGAAGCTCTGGGATGCTCCAGCTGCTGTCTCCATCAGGAATGGGGGATGGCCGGGCTCCTCTCCATGTTGGCACCTTCCTGTCCATGCATCTGTCCCCAGCCGGTCATCCCTGGGCTCTGGAAGAGCCGGTGACCAGGATGGGACGCGGATTTTCCGGTACCCGGCCTCGTGCCAGCACTGGGAACGGAGGCTCCAAGCCCAGCTGGACCCTCCTGGATCCGGGATGCTCCGAGCGCCCCGCTGGGGATGGACATTCCGGGCTCTGCTGTGTAACGCTGCTGCATCAATATTTGATGGAATTACAAAACCTCTGCTCCCAGGGGAGCGCTGGGGGCTCCGAGATGGGCTCGGCTCCTGGCAGCAGGAAAAATCCTCCTGGATACCCAGGGCTGACGGCGGTGGGGTGATTCGGTTCTGCTCCGGGTGTGGGAATCCCGATCCAGCTGAGATGTTGGATGTGTTGGATGGATGAGCAGGAATGTGTGAATGTCACCTTCCAGCGGGCAGGACAGGGCAGCAATGTCACTGGAGCCTTCTCCTGGACTGAGTCTGAACTTCCAGACTGTGGCTGCTGCTGTGGAGGATTCCCAGAGTTTCCAGGAAGATTCGGATTGGCAGGAGCTGCTGAGTGGGGCAGGCAGTGCCAGAGGTGATGCCCGGGCACTGACCCAGAGCTGCTCCACGCTGATGCCACCCCACTCAATTCCTGGGAATTCGGGAGGCACCTCCCCTCTGCTGGAGCTGTCTGAGGCAGCAGGATGAGCCCCTCAGGGTGTGGCTCCCTGGGATTCTGCTGGGAATTCTGCATTTCCAACAAGCCAGCAGGTGCCCGCTCTCACCGGTGCGATTCCGTGGGCAAGGAGAGGAGGAACGGGAAAAGCCGGATGGAATCCAGGCGTGGGGCCGAGCCCCGGCAGCCCCCGCTGCAATGGGGCAGAGGGAAAGCAGCATCCCTGAAACTTTCCATGGGGAAAAGGATGAAGAGGGACACGTGATGAGGAGCGTTGGTGTCTGAGCTCAGGGAGGTGTAAACCGGGAGCATTTACCGCCAGGAACCGGCCCAGCTCGGATCTATTCCCTGCCATCAGCCAGAAATTCCCAGGATTTCTCTTTAAGCTGAGCAGTGACATCGTGGTTACACTAAAAATAAACATATAGGCCAGTGCCCACGCTGTCACCTGCGGGAATGGCAGCCTCTGGGAATGCCAAAGGCTGAACCCAACAGCGTGGCCGGCAGGAAAAGCGGGATTGGGACAGGGTGGGCACGGGTGGCACTGGAAGGAGGGGTGGCACCGGCAGCAGGAGCGGCACTGACACTCTCAGGCTGCGGGGATGGCGCTGGGGACAGCAGGAATGGCAGCGGCAGCCCTGGAGCGGGGACAGCGGGGACAAGGCAGGCAGCAGGGACAGCACTGACCCCCCCGGGCAGAGGGGACAGGGCCCCGGCAGAGCCGCAGAGCCGCTGCGCTGCCCGGGTGACACGGAGAGGGGACTCGGGGAGCCGGGAAGGCAAAGCCAGCCATGAACCGATGCTCACCCACCGCCCCCCTCCTCCCCGAGCCCGTCACGCTCCCAATTACAGCCCGGGGGGGGAAAACAGGGGGGAAAAGGAGCGAGG